AAAAAAAAAAAAAAATTAAAAATAAAAATAAAGAAGAAAGAAAAGCTACGTCAACTAATGGGTTTGTACTGTAATATAGAATTATTCAATATTCATTGTAATTTATTCCTCGGATAGAACAGCAAATCATCTCCAATCAAAGCCTAAATTCCATCACTTCGTACATCACCACAAATTAAATCATACATATTCGAATTTGTATGTTTTCATCAAATGATATCATTTACTTGTATAGACTGCACAGTACACCATAACTATGACTGAAATTGGGCCGTAAACGTTATAGCATTACCTTGCGACTAGAAACTGAGGCTACAAAGTAGCTAAACTTCACCATAATCAATGAATCATCAAACCTTACTTTCAAAATTAAATTGCCTAACACTGTCTATTCTTGGGAAGGTATCACTTTCCATCTTTGGAGTAAAAACTTCGAAACTAAGCAAATCACTTTGTCTAGTGAACACTGTGAGCAAATCTTTAGCCGAACAAAAAGAAGAATAACAACATTACTTGTGTCCGATCACAGGACAACTGATGTTGGTACACAGACGAGAAGTAAAATCAAGAAATTTGCTTCTCTTCTTCACAGCATCCGGCTGAGAGATTTAATGAGCGACTTCAAGTTCTTTCTTGTGGCTTCATCCCCAGTAAATCCTAATATATCAGAGCTTATGTTCTGCATGTGTTGATTAGAAATGAAGATAACATATTTAAGAAAATAATGATAGTTAGGTATGGAGAACGAGAATAATAGCTAAGAATCTGAATATGACGGAGAGCCTACCTCAATGTTCTTCAAAGTGAATATGAGGGTATAAATTGATTTCTGAATTAATTCAGTATTCTCCGGGGTCATAATTGATGACTGCACCCTTCTGCATAGGTTCACAGACAAAGTACCATCAGCCAATAACCGTACAAACAAACACACATTCAAACAAGCACAATGATACAAACATCCTACATGACAAAGCATTATTTGAAGCTTAAATTATATACATATATATATATATATATCTATATGATGGGGTTCAAATAAAAACCAGTCCTTAGTTTGAGAACCATAAGAACTTTGTTTGTAGTTGTGTGTACTGTAATGCACCTTTCCATTGTGTTTGTTGCTATTTCTAATTAGGATTTATGTTTGAAAACAGTAATACTATAGATATAATAACATCTGTATATATTATAACAGCATATGATATAGAAAAGTTAGCATTCTAGCCAATTAAAAATGTAACGAAATTCGGACCTCAGGATTCTCACACCAAACTTATTTTTATCAGAACCTAATCTTATGTATATATGTGTGCGACTGTCTATAACTCTAAAGATTGAAGCTTAAAATTATTTATATTTGTGTGTGTAGATTAAATAGCGGTACACTTGTAATTTCATCCAAATCATCATGAATTAATCCAATAACTCTACAAGCAATAGCAGGTAAATTAAATGGAAATACATCACAAAATAATAAACAGAAACATGTCCAGTTGTCTTTATCTCCTGCAATAGGAAAATACGGATTTCATAGTTTCTTCAAAAGCATTGGTCTCATGAAACATATGATAGTATCATACTATTCTAAAATTATAATCAAATTCTTACATGTACAAAATCATAATACCTAACTTCCAGCGTCTTTCATAATCTTTTCCTGTTTAAACAAAAAATATCAATTTAAAATAAATGGGAACCAATACATGTACCACTGACTAGGAGTTATCTGAAGCACCTTCTGATATCAAAGAAATAAGAAAGCTCAGATGTTTGTATGCATGTTGAGTACGTCCAAACTTGCAGAAAGGTAACAACTAATTAATGATACACAAATGTGAAAGGCATTAACCTAAATTCCTCAGATGCTCGCGTGAGGCTTTTGGTTAAGCTCTCTACATCCTTTAGCAAACCACTATCTTGAACTTCAGCCAGCAAAGGTTCTATATCTTCTGCCATGGCTTGAATCTGAAAAATTACTACATCAAAGACATATTCTGCATGAGAATACATCAATGCTATGATCTACACTGAAGCTACAGAATTATTCGTGACTAGCAAAATATCATTATTTTGCATGACCTCGTTTTGCATTCTTATGCTAATGATGGCCATCGGAAAAGATACCTGTTCCTAGAAACAATTAACTGAAAACTAATTTCATACAGCAGCCAACAAGGCGACCAGAAAGAACAGAATTCTGATGTGACAGTCTGGGGGAAAGCACTAACATAACACTTAGCTGCCAAAACCCCAGAGTGGTCCCGATAACCATCTGCAATCCAAACCCCAGATTGGTCCCGCAAAAAAGTTATGTTCCGAAAGGAAAAAGCAGAGCATCATCATTTTGCTACAATCTAAAATATTTGTTGCTGTTTAATAAAATATAATTTTATAGTGTGTTGAAAGTGAAACATATTAAGCAAAAACAAAAAAAAAAAAAAAATGTAAGTTGGAGGCAAAGACATCTCATGCAGAAGAGAGAACAAGTCATCAAATATAGCTGGAGCAATTTAACCAACCTTCCCAGGAAATATAAAAAGAATGCTGTTACTCCAAACAAAGATATAAATACATTAAAACATGTCAGCTTCACTGAAAGCTCAAGAGGGCACAGTAGAACCTAATAGAATGAGCCTGTCTACCTGAAATACAACAAGTACACCACATGCAGAATTAAAAATGATATAGACATGCACTGCATGAGTATAGCTATGATATAGCTATTTACCCTCTACAGGATCCATTGTCCAAGAAAAGATGACAACACTAGTTAGTTCACAATTAAATCCTACTGTAGTTTGCAGAAGTTCAAGTATGACTACCAAGGAAAATATACAAATTAATCACAGTGAATATGCCACCTGAGCAGCTGAAACCACCATACCACAAGGGAACTTCATTCAAGTAAATGTCAACAACGAGAGCACACCTTCGAAATAAGAGGTCGTGCCTCTTCAATAATATTGGCAACCCTTTCAGCCATTGAATAGGCATTGGCAACACCAATTTCTTCGACTTCACGCCCAATGCGAGTAAATATTCCGACCAATGCATCCAAACTCACCCCCTGATGCCCCTTTATCTTTTGCCTGTCGCATACAATTAAACCCTCTTTAATACAATTTGCATGAAGAGGCCCAACTGAAGGAGATGGAATGGGATCTCGTGGGGTAATGTCAATGAGAGTTTCCATGAGAAGACCAGACTGATTGACTTCGATCAAAGAATTCCGTGGTATTATAAGTTTGTCATCTTTAATCTGCATCACCAAGATCAAGACAAACAACAATAAAGTGCAAGCACATTCAAGCCACAAAGTAGAAACCAAAACGAAAAGCCTGCTCAACTGTCTCACCTCAACTTCAGCCTCAATACTCTTGAGGGAGGAGTTAACGCGAACCACATTCCCCACATTTACCCCTCGAATCCTAACGGGTGTGCCGGCACAAATGCCACTAGCATTCGAAAACTCAAAAACAGCCAGATACTTGCTGAACCTTGATCTTAACTGAAACCCCCTCAACCAAGCCAAGCTAAATGCCAACAGAAAGGCACCCGAAACAAGAAACAAGCCAACACCACCCTCCCACACGCTTTTCCTACCGAATCCAAAATCACTCAATGGTCTCAATGTTTGTTTCCAAACCGTCCTCGGGACATCGAGAATCAGAGAGAGAGGATTCTTTGACTCGGAGGAAGACTCATCCTGATGGTTATGACCAGAAGATGATGTGGCTTTGACAAAAATCCGTTTCCTCATCTTCTGTCCACGAAGAGGTTTCAGGCAAGGCATGAAATTTAACTTACCATTCATAGCAGGTGTGGGAAAATAGGAAGGCAACAACTGGGGGCTCGTTGAGACAAAGCGTAGTGAATTTCCTTCCATCTCTCTCTCTCTCTCTCTCTCTCTCTCTCTCTCTCTCTCTCTCAAACCCTATACACAAATTAGAACTCAATGTATCGTTCAGTAGTAACACATTTTAGCCGTAATAGGATCCTGGGATCCTTCCTAAATCTTCAACACGGCCGCAATACCACCGACTGTAGAAAAGAAAAAAAGGACCTGCGTAAGGCATACAGCATTAGAAGATAAAATTAAATGAAACATCAAAGGGTGACGTTGGGTATGAATATCATACGTTCTAAACATGTGTTGTTGACAAAACACCCCAAAGCTTTGAACCCTAAATTTGTTCCGTGTTGACAGTTATTCATCCATTTTCTCAGCTAGATGGACAAAAATTAACGCTAACTAACGCATATTTTTTCATCAGTTTAATCCAATTCCAGAGGTCCTTCACTACCTTCAACGACAGACTAAATTTCACCAAAATCAGCGACATTTTACCCATATATAAACCCCAATTCACTATTTTTCTCTGCCCCAAGCCAATCATTCCGTAATTACTGATGAGAAAATCGTAATGCTAACGAAGACCTTATCTTAGCCCGGGAGCTTGCTGTTGGGGGGAGGCGGACACAACCGGCGAGCGACGATAGGAGACGAGATTAAGAGAGAGAAGCAACGCCGTCCTCGGTGGCAGAGGTCAGGACGGCGATTGACAGGTTCAGTGGTACAAGGTGGGTAGTACACTGCTAGGGCAACTCCAGATTTTTCTCCTTTGAAAGTGAACAGCAGCTGGAGTATTTTGTTTGGTTTCACTCCATGTGGCTGACTGACCAAACAACCATTGCCCAAAAATCGAGCTTCCGTGCATCATCATCATTATTATTATATTATTATTATTATTATTATTATTATTATTATTATTATTATAATAAATTATTATTATTATTATTATTATTATTATTATTATTATTATTATTATTATTATTTTAAATTTACATTTTAGTAACGTAATTATGCAATTGTTTTTTTTTTTTTTTCATTTTAGTTATTAAAATTATAGTCTTATTTGATACTTAGCTCGGAATAGATTAAATTAACTTTTATAACAAATGCTTGATTGATTGATGGTGCAAACCACCTCAACAGGTTCGAACGACCTTGAATCTGCTTTCGTCTGATTCAAAGACCATCAAAAATAGCAAATCGGTGTAAAGGCTCCAACGATCAAGTCAGTATGTATCAAGAAAACGATGAACAATATGTGTAGCTTGTAAGTATGTAAAAGTGTGTACAATGTAACTGATCACATCTCACTCATTTATAAAGAATGATTATCTTATTGTCGAACACTGTTAGACTAAGCTGCCCGATTGCTCGAGCTACCCATTTATAGTGCCCGAGTGCCAAACTGTGGATTCTATTAGTCCATGTGGTCCTCTCCACGTATGATTTTTATCCTAATAATGTCCATTCTTATCTCTTACGTAGTGTGTTCACATTAGACTACCTCATTAGACGGTCTAATTATGTGACCAACTCAGTTTTCCTTGAACCAGGTTACTTCGACCATCCGTGTATAAGCTTTAACTCTTAGGTCGTGCTATCGACATGTCTGTCTCTGGGTTGAGTTTCTATCAGGGTAGATGAGAGCCCTAGCTCGACCTGTTGGTGAGCTCTCTTACATGTGAGGTCTTCATCGACCTGATGACTCTTCGACCTCATGTTCCCTTGACGTCCAATCGACCAGCCCCCCGGTCCAGTAAAACCGCTCCTTAGGTCGTACTCGACCTAGTATGGTATCCCACATCATCCGGTCCTCCCCATTTTGGTTGAGTTGGGATAACTCGATCCAAAAGTATAATCGATTACCCTTGGTCATACTCATTGGCTCGCAAACCTATCTGATGTGGGATATTACATAAATTCCTATCATTCGACCTGTGCATCCGATTATTCTAGTGAGGGCACGTGGCTTAATGATCGAGCAAATGGATAGTCGATCAGACGCTGAGGAATTGGTCAACGGAGTAGTAAGGCGTTACTGACATTTTGTGAAGAGCAGTTTAGTGATCCCTAACATTGGGGAAACGTGGCCAAGGCGGTTACGACGTGGGGCAAACCATTATCCATGAAAACAGGTATAAGGAGTGGAAAGAAGAAGGGAGAGAGGTACGCGATATATAACTTTTTACCAATCATAATAGAAAAGGAGGAAAAATCTAACTTAAGCATCGGAGGGCCAAGCCGGAGATATTCTCTCTCCGGTATTCGCTTTTTTGTAGGTACTTGGAGTGATTAATCGGCGTAGAGGACGAGATCTGAAGGAATCCAACCGGTTCGAGGTAACAATTTGATACCATTTTGGCGCCGTCTGTGGGGACTCTTGAACAAGAAGCTTTTGCTTTACAATATCTAAAGCTATGACGAACGGGATTCTGAGAAAAAACTTGCAGTCATCATTTGATGATGCATGGACAGAAACGAGGCCGATGGGGGAAGGTCCACCACCAGGATTTGCCGGAACATCACAAACACCGGGGAGTCGTCAAATTATAACCCAAGGTGGAGGAGATCCGACAACTATAACCCAAGGTGGAGGAGATCCGACAACTACAACCCAAGGTGGAGGGGATCTGGCAACGGTAGCCCAGGGTGGAGAAAATCCGGCGATGGTAACCCAGGGCGGAGGACAGCCGGTGATACCTCCAGCAAATAGAGAGCAGGACAGGGTGGTTGAACCACCACCTCAAGTAAACCGCGTAATAGCGCAAAATGAAAGAGCTAGAGCCCAACCTGTACCACCATTGATGGCGGATCGACCTCCGGAACAACAAGTAATGACTCTGACCAGAGAGCAGCTGGAAGAAATGATAGCCAATGCTACGGCTCGAGTAGTATGGCAGGTAACAACTAGTCAATCTCAAGCAACAGATGCCCCGGCGACGATGAGTGAAGCCAATGAGGAGAATACGTCTAGCCGTAGAGAAGCACCTCCTTACGGAGGAGAAATAGAGAGGCTGGTCGAACAAGTGAGACAATTGCAGGAGAGGGTCGATGGCCGACCATTTGGTCGAGTTAGGGGACATCCCTTTTCAACCCGAATTTTGGATGCACCACTACCAGAGAATTTCAAGGAAACTCATTTGGTGTTTGATGGAACAACAGACCCATCGCGATATGTTCGAACTTTTGATAACATGGCAGTTTTGCACGGTTATTCATAGGTCGTAAGCTGTAGGGCATTCTTGTCGACTCTGATGGGAGGTGCCTTAGACTGGTTCAACCAGCTCCCCCCAGGATCGATCAAAGATTTCGAGGATTTCACCGAGAAGTTATTGAACCAATACTCCAGCTCTGTCTCCCAGGAGAAGACATACCTTACTTTAATGGCGATGAGACAAGGGGAACATGAGTCGCTCCGAAAATATGTGGCTAGATATAATCAAACATGCTTAGAAATACCTTCGGCATCAGATGAGGTAAAAGTAGGAGGATTAATCTGGAGCCTTCGAGCAGGACCTTGTCGAACATCCTTGGCTAAAACACCTGCTCGATCTTATGAAGACATACTGAAACGATGCAAGAAGTACATCAACCTGGAGGAGACGAAGGAGGAGTTCTCAAGACTGGAGAATGTTGCTCGACAAGAACATAAGAAAGGGAGGCCATCTTCTCCCAAGAGGAGCCCTCAGCCGAAATCATCTCCTAGGAAAAGGTCGCTAAGAAGGGATAATCGAGGAGGATCAAGTAATAACCGAAATGACAAATGGGCTGATCGACCATTTGAGGCTCGAGGAGCGAGATTCAATAATTTCACACCGCTTAACGCTAAAATGGGAGAAGTCCTAGTAGTAATGGAGAAAAAGTTCGGGGAGAAGGATATTTCTTGGCTAAGATCTCGTTTTGAAGGCCCTACCCAACCCAAATCAAGAAGATATTGTCGCTTCCACATAGACTATGTCCACACAACCGACGATTGTCGTCACCTAAAAGATGAGATCGAGAGGCTGATAAGGGCAGGGCATTTGAAGAAATTCATATATCATGATCGAGTAGGTAGGAAAGAGAAAAGGAAGTGCATAGAAGACTGGGAGGAAGGAGCGGCGACGATGAGCCTGAAGATGACCCACGCGGAGACAAGATCGATCAGGCAGGACAGAAGAAAAGAGGAGATAATGGCCAGCTCCCCATAAAAAGAGGTATGGTATTCATGATCTCAGGAGGTCCTACTGATGGAGATTCGAATCATGCTCGTAAAGAATACACGCGATCGATAAAACGCAAGAGAGAAGAAGTTAACTTGACCACTCGAATGCCCACAGTAAGTTTTCGTGCAGGAGATGTGGGAGGGGTGGTAGTACCTCATAATGATGCGTTGGTAATCACGGCTGAAATTGGAGGTTTTGATGTAAGAAGAGTTTTCGTCGACACGGGAAGTTCGGTCAATATCATGTTCTATGATTGCTTCGCCCAAATTAATCGAGAGCTCAGCCTGGAATTGAAGCCGATAACCACACCATTATATGGGTTCAATGGCAGTGAGGTCACACCAATGGGGGAGGTTAGTCTAACGGTCGTTTTAGGATCAGGGCCCAAGAGGAAAGTACGGATGGTTCGATTTATGGTGGTCGCAGCTGATTCATCTTACAACGTGATTATGGGACGAACTTGTTTGAATTACTTCCAGGCTATTGTATCCACATATCATATGATGATCAAGTACCCAGTAGGAGAAGGTGTGGGTGAAGTGTCGGGTTATCAACTCGCCTCGAGGAGCTGTTATCAAACCACAGTGAGCAATAACAGGCAGCTGTCAAAGAAGCAGTACCAAACTTGCAATAATGTATCTGGTCGAGTGAGCTCTTCGAGGTCCAAGGAAGACAAATCTCAGGCTGATAAAGGCAAAGAAAAGGCGAATTTCCAACTCGGGGAAGAGACTGAAG